TCTCTTGATTTGGTTTCTCCATTTTCATGTCTGTTCTCCATGCATTGAGTCGTCATCTTCCCTTTCCTCCTCCTTGGGAATCACCCGCGGGAGCACCTGGAGAAATGCCAGAGCTGAGGTTTTGGGTGGCCCTGTGCTCCCCTCCCATCACCTCCCACTACCAGACAGCATGGTCAGGACTCATCTCACCCAGCTCAGGCACCAGCACAATTGGCAGCAGAGCTCTGACTCAGGTCCCCAGCTAGCAAATCCTCCTTACCTCATGGTGCTGCCAGCCCCGTAGCTACAGATTACCCTCGGGATTGACTCCTGTGGCTGGGGGAGAAACACCAGGTCAGTACACTCCCTCCCTAGGCTCCCTGAGCCCAACAGTCCCCCTGCAGCCCCCACCACGGAGCTGGACTCAGCAGTGCCCAGTGTCTCTTTATGGGCAGAGATGATTTAGTGCCCTGAGGAATATGGCTCTGGGGAAGCTGGGAAAGTTTCCAACTCTTCCTTCCCTCCCCTATATATTAACTTTCCATGCATATGAAGCTGAGAGCTCTTCCAATCACCTCTGCAAATATTAATTAATCCTCACTGCATCCTGAGGACCATTATTCACTCCTATTAAGCAAATATTATTAAATCCTCTTATAAGAGGTGAAGTGACTTTTCCAGGGCTGTGCAGGGCATAAGTAGGAGCGCACAGACTTTCTCTCAATACCTTATGCGAGAGCTGCTGCTGCACAGGGGCTAAGCTGCTCACTTGAGCTGGGGGATGTACCATCACCCAGCAGCTCTGGCTGCACCCCAGAGCCAGGAGGAACCCTCCCCACTCTTGGCCACTGCCCAGGACTGTGTCCCCCCATCCAGCTGCCCATTCTGTCTCCCAGACACCAGTGGGGATCCCTGTGGTGGCACTGGGGCCAGACTCACTCTGAAGGAGCCAGTCGATGAAGGCGCTTGGGAATGGGGAATTCTGCAAAGAACAAGGAGATGTTAGTGTGTGTGAATGGAGGGCAGCAGTGTGGGGACATGGGATGGGGCACAGCCATACCCGCAGATCCAACTCCACAAACTGCTCAGATGTCAATGGCAACTTGGAGAGGGCAGAGTGGATTTTCCCCAGCAGCCCAAAAGAGAGGATGCCTGGGGAGAAGAAGAAGCCATCAGGGCTGTGCAGAGCTGGCTGTGGGTCCTGGAACCTGCCAGAGCTTTCTGTCTGCCTGGAGTGTCTGGCAGAGTCTGAGAGAGCATCAACCTGACTGGTGAGGAGGAAAAACCCCTCATCCTTCCCATGGATGTCACACCTTCTGGGGTTCAAAGGTTCCCATGAAAGCTGCTGCCCTGCACCTCCCTGGTGCAGGTCCCATCACAAGGGAAATGCTGGGGGTAAATGAGGACAGCTCTGCTTGCAGCAGAGCAGAAATTGTGTCTGTGCAAGGTTTGATGTGAACAGAGCTGGGGAGGGAACCCCCCCCCAGCTCTGCAGGGCTGTGCCTGTAGGGGGTGAGCAGAACTCTTGGCAGCAGCTTGGGTCTGGCCATGGTTAGAAAAGCACTTGTGAGAAGAGCAGGACTGTGGTGTCAGGCAGCAACAGTGAACCAGGACTGTGCCACCCACAGTGGCTTTGCTGACAGAGCAGAGCTACTCCTGCTCCATGCAGAGAGACTCCTGCTCCCATGACTCTGGCTCTCCTGAGGACACCTGCTGCTTGTGGACATGGCCAAACACAGAAATCCTGAGTGTCACTCTAAAACTTAATATAGAAAAGAAAATGTAATGACTTACGGTTGAGGAATTGTAGCTTAATGTTGATGATTCTGACCCAGATGTTCACTAATGGGCAGAGCTGCAATGGCAACAGGTGGCACAACCTTGGTGAGAACATCATGGTGCAGCAGCACATTCCCCAGTACCCCTGAGTTTCACAGATTTAAATCTGGATGGAACAATCAGCTTCTGGAGCATAGTTCCTCCATGGAAAAAGAGTCATATAAGTTGTTCAGCCCCTTTGTCAAAACAGCACAGGTTCTACTGGATCGGATAAACGATTCTCTAACAGGCCCCTTTGCTCTGAGCAGGGCTGTTGCTTCTGCTTACCACCCCAGGGAGCAGCTGAGTACAAATTACCTTGTAACATTGCATGATGGAATTGGAATTACTCCTAACAAATAAATTCTGACTGTAAGGAAGATCAAGGAACGTTGTGGAATTCACTTATAGGCTGTGGGCATGTGCCTGTGCATGCACAAATACAGATTGCATATATATTGTGTATATATATTGTCCTCGCCCATGGCAGGGGGGTTGGAACTAACTGATCTCTAGAGGTCCTTTCCAACCCAAACCATTCTGTGATTCTGTGTGTGTGTGTAAATCTGCCAGACAGTTCTGGCAGGAGCACTGATTGCAGCTGAAATGCAGCTTCACAGCAAAGAACATTCAGACACTCACCAGTGCAGGGACGAGGGACTGAAGAGAAGAGTTCAGCAACTTGCTCACCAGGTTGGTGAGGAGGCTGGGGAGGAAAAAGACAGGCTAAAATTACCAGGGAAGTTGTCAAAACCCAGGGCTTGACATTAAGACAAATCTGAGCTCCTCTGTGCAGCTGTGAGTCCAGACGAGGAGCTCCCCTCATCTTCTGTCCTCAGATGTTAAAAGATGCTGTAAGCCCACAGCTCCCCCAGGCTTTAGCAGGAATTACAGATGCTCAGGACCTTGTTATTTGATTCCCAAAATCTGGCCTTCCTGGTGTCAATCCATGCCCAGGCTTGAGATAGAAGTTTTGCCCCACTGCAAACTTGCAGGAGCTGACCCAGATACTCACCCCTTCTGTAGGTTGACGCTGAAGCCACCAAGGAGATTGTTGCAATCCTTAATCACCAACTTGAGGTCACCAGGGGTGTCCTGGGTCAGGGCAATGTGTGACGTGATATTTGTTTCTACTGAGGATCCACTCAGAAAGGGAAAAATCCTGAAAAAAAGGAAGTGGCATGGGGGTTTATGGAGGAAACCAAAGCAGCACATGAGAGTGGTGCCTGTGGTGGAGCTACAAGCACAGGCTCAGCTGGGACAGTTCTTTAGTCTCAGGACTTCTGTCAGGCACCTGGTCCTGTAGCAGATCATAGAATCACGGAATTGTTAAGGTTGGAAAAGGCCTCTAAGATCAAAAAGTCCAACCATCAACCCAACACCACCACCATGTTCGTCACTGAACCATGTCCTCAAATGCCATATCCACATGCAGCAGCACAACCCAGAGCTTTCCTCACCAGCCCCTTGCTCAGTGTTTGGGGATGCTTTTCCAGCACCCAGGAGTGTCACATCCTCCCTAGCACTCTCAGGCTCCAGAGACCTCTCTCACCAGTCCTGCTCACCCTGGCAATTGGAGCACCAGCTTTGAATACAGGTTCAGCACAAGCTCAGTCCCGTGAAGGACCTTCCATGACACTCGGGCATTCTCGAGGTTCAGCACCTTCAACCTGGGGATCAACACCAAAGAAACCCACCTTGAGATGGCAGGATCATCAGGAGCAGCCCCTGCAGTCCTATCTCTTCCTGCTCCTCATTTGACCTGTTACCCATGAGGATATTCCCAGGTAAAAGTGAAGGTGGGGAAGGACCAACACCTGCTCCAAGAAGAGCCAACCTCAAAGCACAGTCAGGTTTCTCAGGGCTGTATCTGTCTGAGTCTCAGCCACCTCCAAGGGTGGAGATTCCCCCACCTCCTGGTCTGCCTATTGCAGTGTCACACCACTCCTATGTGGAAGACTTTTCCCATTTCTGGTTGGAATTTTCCCTGTTGCAGATCCTTACGTGAGCTGCGAGGACTGGTGGTTTGTAAGACAGGGAGGGCCTAATCCCCTGGTCACCCAGCAGTGAGCCCCACCACAGGACTTTAGACTCACCAGGCAAAGCGTGGTATCTTCTGAGGGGTTCTACCACCCAGCAGACCTCCTGCTTCACCCAGAAGTCCTTCTGCTTCAGCCAGAAGACCATTGAGACCAAGTAGACTTCCATCACCTAGGAGACCTCCTTTTCCAAGCAACCCTGTGCCAAGGAGACCTTTCTCTCCAAGAAGGCTGTTATTGCTGAGCAGGCCATTGCCGAGGAGACCTTTGCCAAGTCCTTCCCCACCAAGGAGACCATTGCCAAGGCCTTTCCCACCAAGGACCCCTGTGCCAAGTCCTTCCCCACCAAGGAGACCATTGCCAAGTCCTTTCCCACTAAGAAGACCATTGCCAAGTCCTTCCCCACCAAGGAGACCATTGCCAAGTCCTTTCCCACTAAGAAGACCATTGCCAAGTCCTTCCCCACCAAGGAGACCATTGCCAAGTCCTTTCCCACTAAGAAGACCATTGCCAAGTCCTTCCCCACCAAGGAGACCATTGCCAAGTCCTTTCCCACTAAGAAGACCATTGCCAAGTCCTTCCCCACCAAGGAGACCATTGCCAAGTCCTTTCCCACTAAGAAGACCATTGCCAAGTCCTTCCCCACCAAGGAGACCATTGCCAAGGCCTTTCCCACCAAGGACCCCTGTGCCAATTCCTTCTCCACCAACAACGCCTGTTCCAAGTCCTTCTCCACCAAGGATGCCTGTGCCAAGCAGACCATTGCTTCCAGGTTGTCCTCCTGCAACAGTCAGACCTGAGTTACTGTTCTGGCCTTCACTGCCCAGAAGCCCTTCTCTCCCAAGCATACCCACACCAAGCAGACCTTCCTCACCTAGGAGGCCTGTGCCAAGGACCCCAGATTTGCTGGGTTCATTTCTTGCATTAAGGGGACCTCCACTTTCTGCTCCACTTGGACTTCCTTTGCCCAGGAGACCAGTGCCAAGCAGTCCACCTTCACCAAGAACACCTGTGCCAAGCAATCCACCTTTCTCACTAATGAGACCTTCACTGCTGAGAAGACCAGTACCAAGCAGACCTGCACCAAGGGAGTCCTCAGTTACTAATCAGACTTTCACTGTCGGGAAGATTTCATTGGCAAGAAAGGTTGATTGGCCATTTTAGGTTATTCTGCTGGTGATGTCTCACAGGAACCCCTGAGCAAAATTCCCTATGGAGATGAGCATGTCAGAAGGCAGCTCCCTGATGAGCAGAGGGACATGCCATGACCCCAAAACGACCCTCCCCTAGAAACACAGAAAACCTCTGAACTCACCACCGTTGGATTTTGCTGGGTTGTGTTGAGAAGGCCCTGGGAGGGGGGCAGGAGGCCCCCAAGAAGGATGAGGCACCAGAAATGTGGCATGTCCTGACCCAGTACCTGTGGAAAGACCTACATCAGCCCAAGTACCAGTCCCAGCACATGGATATTGGCAGTCTGAACACTGAACCTCTCCATCCTTCACATGCACTGCTCTAGGGCAGTAGGGCAGGTGTCCCCTGGACCTACAGCCCCCAGACACCATCCCCAAGCATCAGCCCAGACCTACAAGATCCTTTTCCCACCCAGAGAGGCCAAATCACTTCTGGTTATCAGGGAGCAGCTGAAGCCCAGTGCTGTGCAGCTCCAGAGCCATCGATGTCTCCATGCCTGACTGGGATCTACCACTGCAGAGCTGCATGCCTGATCCCACAGGGAAGTGAAAATGCCATTTTGAGGGAGGAAGAGGAACGGAGATGAGGCAGGAGGACCTTGTACTGAGGGAGATGGATGGCTTCCAACTTCTCCGAAATGGCCTTGAAAGAGGAACACTCACAGGGGCACTGCTGGATAAAAAATGACGAATGTCACAGTCGTGTCCTTCTGCCCACTGTGAGGAGCACCCTGTGGTATTAAAGCTCAAAGCACAGCCAGAATCAGACTCACTTTCCCATGGGCACATTGTTTGTTTTTCTCATCATGCTCCACTCAGGTTGTGAAAAGATCCCATTTTCCCTGTGTTTGATCTGCCCTGAGCCAAAAGAATGCACCTTCAAGGACCTCCTGTTCCCAAACTGGGTTTCTTGGGGTGACAGTGCAGGCCATGGAGTGTTTGTTTATGCACAGAGAGGTGTTTGCAAAGAAATGAGAAGTGGCCCCCACTGCAGCACTGCCACAGGTCCTGGCTCCAGGAGCACCTGCTGTACAGCCCATATCCTGGATGGACATCCTGGCTTATCCCTCCCGAGAAAAACAAAATACAGGGCACAGATTACAGAGGTTCAGCACTGAGAAATAACATTATTTAGGTCAGACTCAACAACTTCTTTATCTCTTCCAGATACTTTAAAAAAAAATCCCTCTATGACAGTTCTCGGCACAATTAAATTAGACTTTAATTCACTCGACTGTCTTTTACATTTTCCCTTTGATCAGCACGTAATGATGCACAGCTCCTGTAGCCATGATTATTGAACAGGGGAGAAGGAGAGGCTCGAGCAGCCTCTATTGAAAATCGTGTCAAATAAAATCAGTGGGATTTGTTGGAGGGGCTCTGCAAGACGTGCACAGCATTGCAAAAGGGCACCAAAATGGATGTCAGGGCTCTTAGGAGAGCTCTTAGAGAGAATACGTGACCAAGCAGGCAGCTATCTCTGTGGTTATTAGCAGTATCTATCAGGGTGCTGCTCCTCGGTCACACACGTTTCAGCGAGCTGAGCATCTCGCACATGCAAAAGGCACATCTGGCTTTGCAGATAAACACTTATTTTACACCAGCAGAGATGAGGTCTGGAAAGCTGAAAATTGTTCTGAATTCTGGTCACCAAGATCATGAAAAAACTCCCAGTCCTTTCTGCCAGCCTAGTCATTATCACAAACTTAACAACAACAGGAATAAATGTGGAATTTAACAAGCAAGAACTCTGCTAGCTTTAAAAATTAATTTTCATAAATTATTAAATGCTGCTACAGAAATCAAAGGAAAACATCATTAAAATTCCTGCTTTCCAAGCTGAGTTACACTGTGCTGTAGGTCGGCTGATGGTGGCCACGGTCTCTCAGTGCCGCTTACCTGGACCCTTTGATGTCGCGGCCGAGCTGCCCACAGTCACGGCTGCCAGCAGCAGCTTTTATACACCCAAGCTGCAGGAATGAGGAAAGCCAGGGAAGGATGGAGCAAGGACAGTTCCTCTTCACTGGCTGTGAAGTGTGACCCCTGTGCCAGCCTGACCCCGAACACTGCACGTAGCAGCTCCAGGCCATGGCCAGCAGCATCCAGCCAGCCCAGTGGCTCATCCCTCACCTCCCGCTGGGTGTGGTACCCACCAGCTCTCTGGGCACCCTGCCACCCCACTCCCAGGGCTCGTCCTGTCCCCTGGGCATGTCCTGGCAGTGGTGCCAGCACTGAGGGTGCAGCCAGGCAGCAGCACAGAGGATGCTCTGCGCCAGGCTCCATCCAGCCCCGTGGCATGTGGCCCCACACACGGCCATGGCTGGGACATGGGACACAAGTCAAGATGTTTGCAATATTTGCCTTTACGGTTAACTTCATGTTCCCTTGGTGTGAAAAGGCTGCACGGATGGCCTCACCAAGTCAGGCCCCATGACACTTCCTTCTCCAGAAGTTCATGAAACCTGAATCCTGCTGCGCTCTCCCGTGACAGTGGTGAGAGCAGGGCATGGAGCTGGGACCTCTGCCAGCTTCCACAGCCACCTCAGAGCCCCCTGCTCAGGTGGTACGTGGTCCAAGGGGACCTTTCTGAACCCAAGGGAAATATCCCAACCCCTGTGCATAGATGGAAGTAGAAGATGCAGGACTCAGGTTCAAGTCCACCTTGAAGAACTGGCTAGTTTCTAGCGGAAGGCTGGACATGGTGTAATGCATGCTGCCCAGCAAACCCAGGAGCAGCAGTCCTGGGGGGAGAGAAAGGGAGTCAGTGATTCCCTGCTGAGCTTGGGTGCAAATCCCACCTCCCCTGCTCAGTCCACACTGCAGACTGGGGAGGGTGACACATGGGATGGCAGCTCTGCCAGTTACTCCAACAACTCTGAGTCTGGCCCAGGGCACCTTGCCCTTTGCTGGAGAAGTGAGGTTGGGAGTGGGGCTAGGAGCCCATGGAGGATGGTTGGAGAGACCCTGGGGCTTTCACAAGGGAGGAGGTATTGGTGGTGAGACACTGGCACAGGTTGCCCAGGCAGGCTGTGGCTGCCCCAGCCCTGGCAGTGTTCAAAGCCAGGTTGGATGAGGTCTTGATCATCCTGGTCTAGTGGGAGGTGTCCTTGCCCATGGCAGGAGGGGATGGGACTAGATGATCTGTAAGGTTCTTTCCAACCCCTAAAATTCTATGTTTCTATCAGCCTGTAACACAGTCCAGAGCATCATTAGGAACTCCCAGCACTTGGATGTTTGGAAGCAGTGAGCAGCTTCTCCCAAGCTGACAGAGACATGGAATGTGTCCCTCATTAATCCTAAGCCACTGGATGGGTGGACACAGCATCCCTGGGACAGTGCCTGTGCTCCCACTCCAGGCTCTGGCAATACCATAGGGAGCTACACTGCAGCTTTTCAGACTCATTACTCCATCCTGGAATAGTGGTTTTTTTCAAACATGCTAGATTAGGAAGAAGCCTGATCAGGACACTTGCCAATAAATTATCCAAAACTGGGAGCAGGCTGTGGAAAAATAAAGGAGCACCATGAAAACAACCTGCTGCAAAGTAAATGGGTCTTGTTAAACAATTCCCTGTGAATAGCATGGAGCACAGACCTCCCGGAGCAAGGCAATTGCAGCAGCAAAGTGAATCGTTTCTGCTTGGATTTTGCATGAGATAAGTGTAATTTGCATCCCAAAATAGCCAGTGGGAAATTTATTGCTGTCTTTTATCTACTAGTGTATAGTCTCCTTAAATGAGCAGACAGCCTCAGCCTGAGTGGTTCCTATGATGTACACACTACGTGCTCACATCTTGGAAGACCCTGTGCCATGTCAATTAAAATGACCAATGAATGTGGCACATGGGACAGAAATATCCCCCAGGACCTCTGGGACATCACCTCCATTCACAGTGGCTGCACGAGGAGTGCACAGAGACCACCACCACCAACAGCTGGTGAGTCACCTGCAGGGGTGGCAGGACAGGGACACACAGTGGGGAAATGCCCTCATGCATTTGCCATTTTCAGGACATGGGCTGGGGCTGGCAGAGCTCAATGGCAAGGTGGGTCATCCTGGCAGAGGAGGACCTCCATCACTCACCCTCTCACGAGTCTGATCTTAATGCCACCAAGGAGTGTATTGCATTTCTGTCACCAGTTTGAGGTAGCCTGTGCCATCCATGGTCAGCCTGACCCTTGCTGTGATGCTGAGCAAACCCAGAAGGCTATGCAGGGGGAAGGGAGTGATCTTCAGAGCAGCAGCTTGCAAAGGAGCAGTGTTCCCCCCAGAGACACCCCCCAGGGCAGTGCTTCCCCTGGTCCCAGGGCACAGCTGGCACTGCTACCAGCCCGATCCACCTCTTGCCATTGAGAGCCACTTGGATGTAGAGGTTGAGGTGGATGCTAATGCCAGGCAGGAGCTGCAGGGGCACCCTGGGGAGCATCAGCCTGCAGGGACAGTGAGGGGGACACTGACAGCTCTGAGCCCAGCACCACTAGCCTGGCTCCACCACTCACACACAACCATGCTCAGCAGGTGGGCGAGTCAGACACCGGTTAGACCAGAAATAGCAAAAGATATCAAGTTTTCCCAGTTATTTTCCTATTTTAGTTATTTTCCAGTTTTAGCAGAAGCTTGATTCTTTTGCCTTATTATTTCTTCTGCTTCTGCTGGGCTTCACAGCAGAGTTAAGCAGGTAGGCTGCAGACAGGAGCGTTGGCTTGGCTGCAGTGACCAGCGTGCGGCTCGTGCACCCTCTACGGGCAAACTCCTCTATGAGCTGCCTCCCCTGCCCTTCCCTGAGCAGCTCAGGAGGCTCTTTGCAATGCAAACCTGCAGGACATTCAGGCGGGCAGCCTTTATCTCGTTTATCTCAAAGCACCAGCTTCAAAACAGATCTGAGCATCTATTGAAGCACCATCGCACCTCG